CCTGGGAGAGAGAGGGCCCCCGTGCTTGGGGGCTCTGCTAGTTGCTGGCTGGCAGCTGGGGGTGCCGTGGAACAACTTCGGCCTGAGCCCAGGCCTCGGGGCGTGGACAGCGCCTGGAAAGGACCATCGCAGCTCAGGTTTAATGAGCACCTACTGCACGCCCGGCCCTGGGCTGAAAGCTGTCCAGGCATCACTTCATTTAATTCTTCATACCAGTCCTGTGAGGTAGGGGCTATTAATAACCCCATTTTGCAGATGAAGAAATGGAGGCTCAGAGATGAAGTAACATCATTCACTCATATTATTTATGGAGTGCCTACTTTGCACAAGGACCGGGTAGACAAAACATCAGATAATCAAAATGACTTAATTATTACTGGGATAAAAGCTGCAAAGAGAAAGTGAAAAGTGCCTGAGGTCATAGGTTTAGCAATCACACCAGGGAGTCAACAACAATAGCAGCTCATACTTGGGGGACCTCTCTCTGTTGCCAAACACTGGCCTAAGCAGTTCATATGGATGATCTCATCTAACTTCCTACAAACCTAAGATCAATATGATGATCATCCCCATTTTTACAGATGAGGAAACCACCCACTGTGAGGTTTTAAGCACCACGAGGGCAAGGATTTCTGTCCTGTTCACGTCTGTGTGTAGCTCCCAACACCCTGACCAGCACACGGCCCACAAGTAAATATTGAATGGATGCATGAAGCACACAGCCCTCGTGGGCTCTCTCTTTTCCTCCTCAGACCCGAGTGTGACCCAAGAAGGGGGATGAGGGAAGGAAGACAGGATGTGGAAAGGGACATTTTCTGACCCCCCACCCCCCAGCCCACCTGCTAAACACTCTCAGAGCCCTCTCTATTTCACCTTCATAGTATTTATCACGACTGCAATCAATTACTTGTATAACTGGCTGTGCAGTGTGTCCCCCTGGAGTGTGGGCTCTTTACGGGCAGGGACTGCATCTGTCTTGTTTATTACCGCTGTATCCCAACCCTAGGGCCTGGGCTATGGATGCTACATAAATATTTACCAACTGACTCCCTGAGCGGGTTTGGGCAGAGCTGGGATTTAGATCCAGGCATGTCCGACTTTCAAGGGAGCCTGAGGACTCAGGGCCTTGGCTGATCCCCAAGAGATGGGATCTTGGGGAGCAAGGAGCTGAATGGGCTCTAACTACCACCAGGGTCTTAAAGACCCTGACAGTGCCTAGGACAGTGATGGAGAACCTTTTGAGCTCGGCGTGTCAGCATTTTGAAAAACCCTAACTTAACTCTGGTGCCGTGTCACATATAGAAATTTTTTGATATTTGCAACCATAGTAAAACAAAGACTTATATTTTTGATATTTATTTTATATATTTAAATGCCATTTAACAAAGAAAAATCAACCAAAAAAATGAGCTCGCGTGTCACCTCTGACACGCGTGTCATAGGTTCGCCATCACTGGCCTAGTGTTTGGCCCTGACCTAATCCCCAGGGTCCATCCCCATAGACACCTGCAGACTCTCACTGGCTGCCACACTGCCCTGTGCTGTCCCCCACAGGAAGACTGCAGACCTGACTCAGGGACAGGATGGTACACGTAAGGACACTCCTCCACTCCCTCTTAGTGGACATCGATTTGCAATCTACCAAGCACCTCCACACATACGACCCACTGAATCCTTACAGCAGCCCAGGATTCATGGTTTATCTTCCCCTCCTTACAGAGGCAACAGGCTCAGAGCGATTGTGTAACTTGCCTGAAGTAACATAGCTAAGTGGCAGGATTCCTAATTCTGCCCTAAGTCCAAAGCCTCCTTCTCCTCCCAGCTCCCGCGACTCTCCTTCAGCCACTCCTGAAAATGCTCCTTCTAGAGCTGTGAGCTAATTTAAGGCTGGGAGGAACCTTAAAACCATCTAACCCACTGGCTTCCAAACCCTGGGCCTGGGGGAGCTGTGGAACATTCCAGATGCCCAGGCCCTAGTCCAGGGGAGTCTGACTCACAGATCTGAAGGGACATCTGGGAATCTGTATTTTTACTGATTTTTTATTTATTTAATTAATTTTTCGGGGGGGGGGGGGCGGCGGTTAATCCTTAACAGAGGATATTTTTCCATTGATTTTTAGGGAGGGGGGAAAAAAGAGGGAAAGATAGAGAGAAACATCGATGTGAGAGAAACACGTCAATTGGTTGCCTTCTGCACGAGCCTGACCAGGGCCCGGCCCAGGGAGGAGCCAGCAACCAAGGTACGTGCCCTTGACCAGAATCGAACCCGGGACCCTTCGGGCCAGAGGCCGACGCTCTATCCACTGGGCCTTCAATCCAGGCTGCAAAGGAAGCTTTCCAAACTGGCTAGGGCTTTTATTTGTTAAGAGAGAGGAAGGGAGAGGGAGTTAGACATAGAAAATCACTGAGAAGGAAACATCAATGAGAAAGAAACATCGATCAGCTGCCTCCTGCACACCCCTACTGGGGATAGAGCCTGCAACCCGGTCTGGGCCCTGACTGGGAATCGAACAGGCAACCTCTTGGTGCATGGGTCGACGCTCAATCACTGAGCCGCAGCGGCCGGGCTGGGAATCTGTATTTTTAAACAGCTCCCCGCTCAGTGGGTACAATGTTTTAGTGCCACCTCGAGCCCCTCCCATTTTACAGTTGAGAAAACTGAGATCGAAGAGGGAAAGAGACTTTGCCCAAGGCCTGGGGAGGGCCCTTCGGTTGCTCATTCCGGCAGAACATCCCGCTGTCCACTGTCCCTTCCCTCCCTGCAGCTCCCAGGCCTTAGCTGGTCCTCAACCTAGTCCTGCCTATTGGATCACTCAGGGTTCTGCTCTGCCCATGCCTAGCCCCTCCCAGGCCAGGCTCACTAGGCTCTCTCTGCTTCAAGAATCTCACCCTGCTCTTGCAGAAAGGACTGTGGGTGACATGCTCACACAGGAGGGAAGGGGCTCAGGCTCGGGAGTCTCCAATTCTGATTTCCAACACTGTGGTTGACCATGGCTCCTGATACCTTCCTAGAGACGCCTACCAGAAGCCACCATCCCTCCCTCGCCGAGGGTGGTGTTTACTAAGCCTCCCTGCTCTAGAGACCTCCCACTTGGGACTAGCGGCTGCGATCTTGGCAGAGAGAAAAACCTCCTTTCCAGTGGTTGCTTCTGTTCCACCCACCCGTGAAGACCTTTGGGCATGTCCTCCTGCCAGACCTCCTGACTGTCCTCTGCTCTCCCTTGCAGGCCCTGGGATCTGAGGGAAGCAGCTGGCTCTTCTCCCCACCACACCCAGGTGGCCGTTTTCTTGGACCCCTCCCAAGGGTACCACCTATCCCATGTCTGTGAACAAAGTCAAAAGGATCTTTCTGTCCCTCTGACAGCTTCTGGGTCAGTGTGTCTGAGCCTGCCCATGGGGACACCAGACAGCTGGGAGGGGGCCCCAACCTGCTGTGCACAGTGCCGGGAAGCGCCAGCCCACATCCTTGAGTCCCCAGCCCCACCCTCCCCCGGCTGTGGCTGTGACCACCCCACCCCTTCCCCAGCCTGCCCCCCTCCCCCACCCACAGCCTGCCCAGGGGAGCCAGACTGCCAGGCCTAGCTCTCACTTCCGGCCTCATGACCCTCTCTCCAGCCTGCACACTCCTCCCCCCGCCCCCCCACCATTTTACTCCCGGCCTGGACTGAAGGCCCAGGGATGTCCTCAAATGGAAAACACTACATCAAAAGGGACATTACAATGCTGCGAGAGCTCCAGCATCTCCGTCGGGGCCTCTATCTCTCAGGACCTGTGCCTCAGGACCTAGC